GGGTGGTGGGGGGTTTGGTGGAGGGTGGGGGATAGGGCATGCTGGACATGCTGGGCTCTGGGGCAGTTGGGAATCTGCTCTGTTTCTTCGTGGACTCCAGGGTGTAAGACAGATGGGACATCTGGCGGTCTGGAGAAGCAGTGGATGCCAAGTGGAGGGGGGCCCGGTGGGTTGTGTGGGCTCTGGTGTTGGTGAAGCTGACCACAGCCCTGGTGGCAGGTACCTTTCCCACCTCTTCTTCTTCATAGTCATCATAACCTAGGTCAACCCAATCCCCGAGAATGGAGCAGCCCTTCCCTGGGTAGGTGTAGACGGGTGTGTTGTATGGGTTGACGCATCGCACGCTCCCCACGTTGGGAGTCATGGCCTTGACGTCGACACCCTCCTTCCATAAGTAGACATTGTTGGAGTTGTCCTGCAGCCAGCGAGCGAAATAGAGGATCTCGCAGTCACAGGCCCAGGGGTTGTTGTGGAGAAAGGCGAAAGGGAGGAGGAGGTCCCCGAAGAAGCCCTTTGGGATGGTGCGCAGCCAGTTCCCTTGGAGGTAGAGGGTGTCGAGCTCCCCCAAGCCATCCAGGAGCCCCGGGGGCAGCTCGTTCAACTTGTTGTCAGCCAGATTGAGCTTCCTCAGCTGGGCCACGGGCCTCAGGAGCCCCGGGGGCAGAGTCCTGAGCTTGTTGCCGCGCAGGTAGAGCTCATGGAGCCGGCTCAGGCCGTTCAGAGCACCAGGAGACAGCGCGGTCAGCTCGTTGTAGGAGGCGTCCAGGGTGGTGAGGGCTGGCAGTGCCTGTCCTAGCAAAGGCAGGCTCTTCAGCTTATTGTGGGAGACGTCCAGGGTCTCCAGCCGTGGCAGCACCCCGTCCGTGTGCAGGTTGGTCAGCTGGCTTTGACGCAGGTACAGCTGTGCGAGCTGGGTCAGGGACGCCACGGATGCTGTGGAGAAGGTGCCCAGGGGGTTCTCGCCCAGGTGAAGGATGGCCGTGTCTCTGGGCAGATCTGGAGGCAGCACCTTCTGCCCCCTGTTCTCACAGTTCACTTCCAGCAGCCTGGTCACCTTGGAGACCTCACAGAGCAGCTGGGGGTGTGAGGGGCGCGGCAGCAGAAGCAGCAACAGGAGGAGAGGCATGGGGACCTGGGGGTCACGGGACACGCGTGGGCACCTCGTGGGCGCTGGGCGTTATTCCTCCAGACTCTAGCCCCTGCTGCAGCCTCGGGGATCCCTCCAGAAACGCAGCCCCCAGACTCCTGTCCTCCCCACTGCCCTCTCCCGCCCTTGCCCCCAGAAGCCTAAACCGCTAGCCCCACGTCCTAGGTTCTCGTCCCCCCCTCAGCGGCCCTGTCCCCCAGCCCCAGCTCCAGCTTACAGGCAGGCGGGAGGACCTCCGAGGGCAGAGAGCTGCTCGCAGGGTGTGACCGTCCGCGCTCTCCAGCTCTAGGGAGGGCCTGGGCAGGGGCAGGAAGGGGATGGGGATGGGGAGGAAATGCCAGCCTGATAGAGATTCCCTCCTGTGACCTGGGAGCAGTGTCCCTCGCGGACACAGGCCCTTATCACCTCCTTCCACAACCGTCCCCAGCCCTCCTTGTGGCTCTCTTCCCCCGCTTTCCATCTACACAGGACGGATTGGGAGTGGACTCCTCCAACCACCCCCGTCCCCCGGCTTCTAAACCTCCCCAGCTGCCACTCACTCGCCCTTCCCACTTGCCAATTTTAACCCTTACCGCCCTCTGCCTTTCTCCATCTCTAGCATGGTCCCCCCACCCACTGGCCCCGTTGTGGCCCAGGTCACCGGTGTCCCCCACCCTTATACACCCACCGGGCGCGTCTCCATCACGATCCTGTTTTCTGCAGCCTGCAGACCCACGGCCTCTCCCGCCTTGGGACTCATGCCACTCACCTCCCTCTTAACCTCTCTGGCTGACCTTTCCCAGTCTTTGTAGATTCCTTCCTCTGTCCTTCATGGAGAGTCGGCCTGCCCCCAGAGTTTGGTCTTTGGTCCTCTCCTTTTCTTCTGCTACACAAACACCTCACGTTACCCTCATTCATTCCCTTGCTGTCAACCACCGTACACCCACCCCAGTGACTCACCTCTACTCAGACCCAGACCCCTCTCCGGAGACCCAAACACCTAGGTCCCACTGCCTTTTGGATTCCTTGGGTGTCCCACAAGCATTAAAACAATATGTTCAAAACTAATTTCACCATCTCTCTCCAAATAGCTAACCCTCCTGTGTTGTCCAGCCCAGTGAATGGGACCATCATCCGCCCATTTAGCCACTCAGTCAATACAAACAGAAACCCCGGTCATCCTTAACTCTTTCCCTCCTTCATCCCCCATCCAACCTGTCACCAAGTCCTGCTGGTTTTACCTCTGAATCTCTCTCTGGAATCCACTTCTTTGTATCCCCACTGCCACCATTCCCAGTCCAGGACACCAGCTCTTCTCTATGGCTTCACTGCAACAGCCTCCCAGCTGGTCTCCTGATGCTCTGACCTCCCTTCTCCCCATCCCCCACTGGAGTGGTCTTCCAGAACTGCAGATTTGTTCATATCCTTCCACTGTTTGAAACTCATCAGTGGCTCCCTATATCTCTGAGATCCCTGGCACAGCATACAGGGTCCTGCATGATCTGACCCTTGCCTACCTGTCCAGCCCCATCTCTCAGCACTCCACCTTTCTTTCTTTCTTTCTTTCTTTTTTTTTTTTTTTTAAGATTTTATTTATTTGTGAGAGAATGAGAGAGCAGGAGAGGGGGGAAGGTCAGAGGGAGAAGCAGACTCCCCGCTGAGCAGGGAGCCCGATGCGGGACTCGATCCTGGGACTCCAGGATCATGACCTGAGCCGAAGGCAGTTGCCCAACCAAGTGAGCCACCCAGGCGCCCTCAGCACTCCACCTTTCACTCTAGTAGATCATTTTATTTCTTTCTTGTGCCTGGGCTCTCTTCTCACCCCTCACCCCCTTCTGCCCAACCCTTACTTATCTGGAGAGTCCCAGCCCAGAATGTCTTCCTCTGGAAAGCCTTTTAAGACTTCCCAAGACTTGGGGCACCTGGCTGGCTCAGTTGGTGGAGGATGTGACTCTTGATCTTGGGGTCATGAGTTCGAGCCCCACGTTGGGCACAGAGATTACTTCAAAACAAAACTTCCCAAGACCAAATGACATGCCTATTTCAGAGAGTCAGCTACCATGTCCGTTGGTCCACCACCCCTTCTAATGATTAAAATGCCCCACCGACTGTCCCCCAGCAGGGGCGTCGCACAACCACATGAGTCTGCCCCTGTCTGCTCCTTTCACCACAAGCCCAATGCAGTTAATCCGTACATATGCCATTTATATAATTTGCCCACTGCAAGAAGTACTTGAGAACATGGAGAAAACAAGGAATCAAGCATCAGGAGGTGTGAGAGAGAGAGGCCGTGAGGTGGAGTGGGGCCCCTGGAGTTGCTGACTGTTGGTGTATTGGTATCAGGGTTTTTTGTTGTAAGCAACAGAAAACATCCTGGCGAGTTTAGGATGAAAGGGAATTTGTTAAACATACATTGGCCACTTTACAGACTTCCCAGTAAGGGCCAGACAACCAGACTTGGAACTGTGTAGCCCGAACAGAATCAAGCTGCAGAACCAGTCTGGTGAGCAAAACTCTGCTCCTGCTCCAAGACCAGATCACTGAAGCCCGCACTGCTCCAGCTGCTGAGCTAGAGACTCGGTGTTACCACAACCTCCCTGTGCAGAGAGAGGATCCTGGACCACCCCATCCTCCTTTGTGGTACCGGCTCCTGATTCAAAGTCTGGGTGTCAGTTGGCTTAGTCATACTTCTGTGACCCAGCTGCAAGGAAATCTGGGAAAGCAAGTCTGGTGGTTTCAGGTTTTGTAATAGGCCGATTCTGCTTCTCCAAATATTCCTAAATTGAAGGTTTTTGCAGACACAGAAAAGGGATTCATATGCTTTGGAACCTACTGAAAGGATCCTATGTTTCACTTTCTTCACATGTTAATGTTCTGATTTTTTTTTTTCCCCTAATTTCACATCTTTGAATGCTTGGGATTAAAATTACTTGACCATTATGAATTATTCTTTTAATATAATTCTAGGTTGGTTTGCTCACATTTTACTTAGACCTTTTACATCTAAGTTAGAAAATAGAAGTGGCTTGTAGATTTCTTTTGAGCAGCTTTGTCTTTTTTCTATTTGCTTGTTTGGTTTTGTTACCAGAGTTATGCTGGGTTTAGAAATTAAGTTGGAAAATTTTATATTCTCTGGAAAAGTTAGAGATCATAGGGATTTTCCATTCAATGCAGGGTTGGTGGAATTCACCTATAAAACCATCTGGACTTGATGCCATTTGGGGGTAGCTTCTGGAATACCTTTCCAATTTCTACTATAATTTTTGGTCTGTTGAGGTTTCTTGGGTCAATTTTGATCTTGAGTCAATTTTGGTAATTGATAGTTTCCCATCAAATATCTATTTCATGTGGCTATTCAAATTTATTATTGCAGGTTTGAACACTTTTATCATTTGTTAAAATCTCCATATCTGTAGTCATGAGCCCTAATGTTGTTTGTCTTTTCTCTCTCTCTTCCTCCCCACCCCCTCTTTTTTTCCTCACTGGACTTGCAAAGATTATTCTATTTTACTGGACTAGTCAACGAACCAAACTTTTTAAAAAAAGATTTTACTTATTTATTTGATAGAGAGAGAGAGAGCACAAGCAGGGGGAGCGGCAGGCAGAAGGAGAGGGAGAAGCAGACTCCCCGCTGAGAAAGGAGCTTGATGCGGGACTCGATCCCAGGACCCTGAGATCATGACCTGAGCTGAAGGCAGACATTCAACTGACTGAGCCACCCAGGTGCCCCAAAGAACCAGATTTATTAGTTTTACTAGTCAATTGCTTTTTTTCCTCTTCAGTGATAAATGTCTGCTTCCACCTTTAATAATTCTTACTTTGAGCCTTTGAGCTTATTTTCACATTCTCTTCCTACCTTCTTGAGTTGAAATCTTAGTTCACTTATTTTCTTTTTTTTAATTTTTTTATTGTTATGTTAATCACCATACATTACATCATTAGTTTTTGATGTAGTGTTCCATGATTCATTGTTTGTGCATAACAC